AGCTTTTTCAAGAGCTGCAGTGATATTTGCCAGCTGAAGAAGTGGGTTTTGCCCACGTAAACTCATGATTCCATCTACATATGTTGTTAGTCTTTAAGGTGCTGCTAGAGTTGGTTGCAGCTAGACTATTTGTAGTTTTTAAAGTTTTTACTGTAAACCAGTGACAGCTCGGAAATTGACGTTGGTTTGTAAGAGCGAGCTATGCAGGAGGATAAGGGGGATAGCTACTGAAACTAGGGGGTTGGGGTTACTGCAGCACCCCCTGAAAGGGACCCCAAATAACGGGAAGTAAAATAAATGATTCACATCCTAGCATGGTTGCACAACATGTCACACCTTATGGCATTGGCACTGAAGGCTACATTGACCTTCAGTGTGACCCAGTCTGGCCGTTCTTATAGAGAATTGAGACAAAAAGCACAGAGGTTTTCTGGATGACTGTCCCACATTAGCTTCCTTGGTGGCTTTCCCACACGCCCCTCCTCCCCCAGCGAAATATGAAGTGATGCATTGATAGGAATCGAATCCCGTTTTCTTCTGCTTTTCAGGCTTTCCAATTCGCCTCGAAAACTATTCACCCACGTGTGGGAGAAAATGTTATTCTTACTTTCACTAGCCATTGGTCTATAAGTGCCCGCGCGTGTATTTAATATCCAACCTGAGATTTAATCCATGTGTGGGGAGGGGAAGCGGTATACAGCTGATTGTAACTTCCTAAATGGACACCGAAGTTATCTAGAATCTGGGTTTTGTCGCCAATATTTTCCTGCCATGGCCAATCAAGAAGAAATCCATTACGCGATTGCTTCTGCGATGTATACCTATTCAGCTGGGATCAGAAGTCAACCAGTCCTAGGAAGACCTGCTGTGAAACTACCCTTATTAAGCCACAAAATCCTGATCCTCGAATAAAATGCCCGCGCGGATAAGATTGCAGGTAACTCTTCCAGGCAATAACATGTCCACAAAGCACAATAAGGTAACATGTTTGTACACTCGGAAATGAAAGGCGTCTGGTTTAGGTTTCTTTTTTTGGGGGGAGGGGGGTGTCCCAAAGCTCACGAAATAGTGCAAACCTACGGCCAGGAAAACAGGGGCATCCCAGGAAAATCCCCTACCAGGTCTCACGGAGATCTAGCGAGCCCAACTTTAGGGGAGCCGGAGTTTGTTTATTTCAGCCCCGTTGGGATTTCTGGCTGCGCCCCCGAGATTTTCACCCCAGGAAGGTTTATGATGATGATGATGATTGTGCAGGGTCCCAAACTACAGAGTACGGTTGCCTGGGGAAAGGAGGCGGGGGGAGGGGCGTCAAAAATGGATCGACACTGGTATCCGCTGCTCTGTCTATTTCACACGGATACCGACACACACAGGGACACAAAGGCGTGGGAGAGGCAGCGTGGCCTCTGTTCACTCCCGCCTAATTAGGGGAGTAGGCCAATTACTTCTCTTAGCGACCCAAACTCGGGTGCCTGACCTCAACAGCTAGGCTCCCTGCTCGCCACTTCGGGCGAAATCGGAGCGCCGAAATCGGAGCCGAAATCGGAGCGCCATCGAGGTGGACTCGGCCGGCTTCCCGCTGAAACCAGAAAAAACAGCCATCACCT